CAGGGGTGTGTAGACTTTTTATATCCACTGTATTTGAAATCAAATTTTTGTTATTTTTGACAATAGCATGGTGTAGGTAGATTTCTGCCAGTCTCGGGCTGTATACCGCCCCTCTAGCTTGTGTCTTAGAATAACAATGAGGTGAAACTTCCATCAATCAAGATGTAAAATCATGTCCCATTGTGTTTAGCTATTTAGTAGGCATGGCGGAGGAGGGAGACAGTGGGCTGTAATTTACCACTGTGTAGGCATCCACATGTGTGACTCTGTAGTTACATGGGCTGCTCAGATGTGATAGGGAGTGTAGCACCCTCTTAGTTAGCTAGGAGGAGCTCTAGATCATTTGTTAGTTAAGGGGGCTGAGTAGCAGCCTGGGTGTGATAGCTAGCAGGGTCAAATTTGGGTCAGAGCTTAGAGGCTCTGCAGACCAGCCCTCTGGAATTTCCCCCTGTTCTAGAATTTTGGAGAAATATCTAGAAGCAGTGGGCAGATTTGCTGAGTGGCTTGTCTGTACTCTTAGAAGATCCTGGCCAATCCCCAAAAGGAGGCTTGACAAGGGGCTAGGATAGCCTTTAAGTGTAACTGAGCCTGCTCAGTAGCAGAAAGTTGGAAGAGAGTTCGGGGTGGAAGATAGAGAGGATGTGAAGCTGGAGGCAGGAGCCCATGAGAGGGCCAAGATGGAGAGGGGGGGCTCACCTACAGGCGGAGGACTTTGGAAGAATGAAAGCTCGGGACTTCACCGACCCTCTGAGAGAGGGTCACTTGTGAGGCAGGGAAGGAGTGGCCCAGCTAAAAGGACTGGTAGCAGCCACCGACCCCACCAGCTACACAGAAGACGGACTGAGTGAGTAGACCTGCACCACCTGAGCCAGATAGGGGTAGGAGCACTCTGGTGAGAAACCAGATTATCCATCATTTTCCTAAAGTGACAGACACTGGATCCCCTGGCATAGGGATTCCTCCAGACAGCCAGGTAGAGGACCATCTGGGGTGGTACTAAAGGAGACGCTGGCTAGCTCTCCAGAAAAGATTGTTGCTGTAATCACTTGTACAAAGTTCAGGAAGTTGTCCTCAGTTCTTTTGGGTATTCCGTACACCCCTTACCCCATCAAAGTTCAATTCCCCTAATAATATTACAAAAACAAAGCTCAAGGACTGGTTACTGACTCCTGGATGCAAAATTGTGAAAATGCGTTTTGACTGGCTATGCAGGACTATACGGGGGACGCAAAAACTTCAGCAACCCCTAAAGGTGTAGTGCTACAGGAGGAAATGCTCAGCATAGAAACTCACTGAAAACTCAACTTGTGCAGTGTAGCTGCCAACACTGTTCTGCATAATCCCCAGCTGCATTGGGGACATGGACAGAATGGGGGGATAGAGAACAACGGGATCAACCAGGTTTTTTGCAGAATACAGAAAATGAATCACATAGTGACTGAGGGGTCAATTCACTAAGAGATAAACACCACATGAATTTTTGAGTTAAAATAACTCATATAGTATGTCTTAAAAAAAAAGTCAATTCACAAAAAAAAGTGTTATTTACCAGTTGCGTTAAATATTTATGTTTTGCAGTATTTAGCACTTAAGTATTACATTATTTCCGGCTGGGTTTTTTTGCTTCTTCTTTTTTTTTTTGCAGGTTAACACTGCTCCAGAAAGCACACATCAATATTGTGAAACTATGAAAACATTTGAGTGTTGCTCTCCCTCTGATGAAATGTTACAATTTAATTACATTCCTGATCTCAGAGAACATTTCCACACCGATACATTGTATACTTTTCACTTTCTGGCCAGTGCAGAGTTCCTCTAATTGTATTTTGTACATTTCTAAAATATCGTCAGGTGATAAATAACGAACGTGTTTGTGTTTTAATGAATTGACTTTAATGATTTATCCCTTGTTTTTTTTGTGGTATTTATCTCATGAATTCAACAAATGTGCAGTATTTACTTCACATATGATATTTTACTTTAATTAATCAACTCTTTTATTATCTCATGTGATATTCCCGAAAAATGAGTCACGTGACCTTCATATTGCACGCAGTAACCTTTAGTGAATTAACCCCTGTGAGAGTATGAACACCATGTAATACAGCATTTATTGATAGTTCTTTTATTTTTGTGGGTTTGGTGACACTTTAAGGGGCAATCTGAGGAATTGTTTAGGTGCTGCTCCCTGAAATTGCAATAAAATTTTATCATTACATTTTTTTATCTCCAAAAGATGTTGGGTGCTTGCGTCTATGAACCTTAGGGCAACATTACTAGGGTCAAGATTATTACTACTGCTAGGAATATGATCCCAAAGTTAATAATAATTTTAGCAGAACTATCTTACGAAAACTGAATTGCCAAAAGCCAGAATTGTGTTACTATGATACAGCCCTATAACTGGAGCTAAAATCCTGTCACCATGGGCTAGAAACATATTTCCAGGATCAGGCAGTGTCCCTAGATCAAATGGTATGTTGTCAAAGGATAGAACTGTGGAGACAAATTACTAGACCGGAGGTCCATCGCTGCAAGAGAAGCCTGTCAATGGAGGTCAAAGCTTTTTTGTAGAGATAAGTACATGGTTTTAGTTCTAGAACTCTGTTGGTTAAACTCATGTTAATAGAAACAGAACCCAAGTCATATAACAACAGCCAGAACCCAGTAACCAAAGCCAGAACCACATAACCAGGGTTAAAGTCATACTATGAAAGCTAGCACCTTGTAACCAGAGGACAGGACCATATCAACATTGCCATTGTTACCAAAGACCAGAATGACATCACAAAACCCAAAGCCATATCATGCAATTCAGGACTGTGTTACCCATGAACAAAATGACATCACAAAATCCGCAACAGCTCTAAGGAAAGGGACTCATCCCTGAAACGCGTCAGCCTCCTGACCGCACTGACAGTTGGAACACCTTGCCCGTTGTTGCGGCTATCTCCATTATGCAAAAGCTTTTTATACATGCTATGTCTGTGAGTATGTTTTTCTCTTTTATATCTTTGAATACATCTTGGATAATGCACTAGGAGTTTGCACCACCTGTCTACTCTTTTTCCAGTGGTTAATTTCCCCCATCTGAGGAGGACTGTACCCCTGAAGCATTATCTTTAGGCCACCTCTGTCCTGGTCCCTTTGGCTTCCCTTTGGCAATTCATTTCCTGGAGCACTGGAGGGTACACACGATAACCATATTACCAAAGACCAAAATGACATCACAAAACCCAAAGCCGTATTATGCAATCTAAGACCATATTACCAAAAACCAAAAGGAAATCACAAAGCCCAAAGCCATATCATACAATCTAGAACAGGGTTTCAAAACCAGGGTTCCTCCAGAGGATGCTAGGGGTTCCATGAGCAATGAGCAATTTCTGCCTCTCAGATACAGTAAGTTCCCATGGACACTATTAATCATTTTAGCTATCTGTACGGGTGTAATTCTTGCCAATGATTATAAGTGTAAGGAGCATTCTTCCCACTGACCATCACACTACTGTGTCATGAGTTGTAGATATAGTCATTTTTAGCAGGGGTTCCCTGAGACAGGAAAGTTATTTCAAGAGTTCCTCTGTGTTGAAAAGGTTGAGAAAGGCTGATCTACAATCGTGTTGCCAAAGACCACAAAGACATCACAAAACCTAAAGCCAAACCACACAAGCTAGGACCTTGTTATCAAAGACCCGAATGAAATAACAAAACTCAAAATCATATGCAATCTACAGCAGAACCTTTTTACCAAAGCTTACACTGACATCACAAAATCCAAAGCCATATTATGCAATCTGAAATCATGTTTCCCAAGTACATTATGACATCACATAGACCAAAGTCATATCATGCAATCTAGATCCGTGTCATCAAAGACCACAATGGCATAAAAAACCCCAAACATACCATGCAATACAGAACCTTGTTACTAAAGACCTGAATGACATCACAAAAGTCAAAAGGTATATCATGTGATCTAGATAGACTAAAGACCAGATAGATATCACAAAACTCCAAATTATGTCATGCAATCTAGAACCTTGTTACCAAAGACCAGAATGACATCACAAAACTTTCATACCATATCATGCAACCTAGAACCGTGTTACTAAAGATTACATTGACACCATAAAATCCAAATCCATATTATGCAATCTGGAACCACGTTACCAAAGGCGGCCAGAATGACATCACATAAACCAAAGTCATATCATGCAATCTAGAACCTTGTCATCAAAGACCACATTGATATAGAGTAACAAAAAAAACAAAACCATACCATGTAATACAGAACCTTGTTACCAAAGACCAGACCACATTGACATAACAAGACCTAAAGCCATATCATCCAGTCTAGAACCATGTTTCTAAAGGCCAGTGCCACATTATCAGGAACAGAACTTAATTCCAATGCTGAAATCATATTAAAAAGCTCAAAATCATGGGGAACTGAAATGGTGTTATCGGAACCACCTCACCATATTTAAAAACAGCAATAGCTTGTTTTACTAAAGACCAAAATCATATCACAAGAGCCATGCCATGAAAGCTAGAATCTTGTTACCATAGGCCAGGAGCATACTATCAGAACCAGAAGCTATCAGAAGCCATGGTCCTAGGCCAAAATCATATCACTATAGGCCAGAGTCATGCAGCCACAAATGGAGCCATATTTCTTCAGGCACAATCGTGTAAACAGGAGTCTGTTACTAGCATTCAGACCTTGTTACAAGAAGCCAGAACCACATTATCCAGACCAGCAATATATTATTAAATCTAGAACTATGTTATCTAGGGACATAACAGTATTATCCATACCAGAATTCTGGTAATGGAGCTAAAATTGTATTACCTGAGGCCTGAGCCATGTTTCTTTTGCTAGCTAGCCGAACAAGCTTGGATTTGTAGTTCCTCTATGGATGGAAGACAGGAGCTTATTTCTTAGTATGTGTCTACAGATATACATATATAAGATATAATTTGGCAGAGGTTCTTACCATCAGGTTGGCCTGCATGCAGACCCCTTGTGAACCAGTCACCCTCTTCCTCTCCATCATTCTGCTGTGTGCCTTGAAATTCACCCCAAAGCACTGAGGACCCTTCCGTCCTTGTCACCTCTTCCTCTGTCTCCAGCCGCCCATCTCCATCTCCATCTCCGATTCCCAGCGGAGAGTCGTCTGCGACAGCCGATACCTCGACTGGGTCTTCAGCATCTGATGCCATAGTGTGTCTGACAATCGTGCTTTTTTTTTTTTTTTTTTTTTTTTTACATGGGGTCTTTTGTGACCCCCAACAACGTCCTCATTCGCTCTGGCTCAGCTGATATTCCTCAAAGCGAGCAGCTGAGCTTACGCCGCATTCAGCTTTCTCCCCCCTCCTTCCATTTTTTTTCTGCGCTCCCCCTGCCGCTCTTTGCCTCTCCGAGGAGAAAAGCTGTTTTCTCACATTCTCACAAAAGCAGCACTGCCACCTAGCAACTCGGCCAATTAAATTCATTATCTGCGTGCAGGAGTGGCGTGCACAGCTACACGCCGCCTGTCTATACACACTCACACACACAAGCACTGCCATTAAACATGAATACACAGACATTTTACCAATAATCCCTTTCACAATTAAATCATTCCCCTGCAAATAGAGGATCGCTGAGTCGTGTTCAGATCCTTTCAACAAAAACGCAGAAAATTCAGCAATAGTCGGGTCACATACACACCAGCGTCTGTCATTCACATGTATCGTTTTTAACAAATGGCATTACTGTCAATAGGTATGTTTAGGTGTGTGCAGGTATATATAGGCTTCCCATTGTTGTATCCCCTGGTTCACACCAATGCGTTTTTTTGGGAAACGCACTACAGTCCATTTAAACATGGTTTCCAATGGGACATGTTCACATTAATTTAATATACATATAAATAAATAAACAAATAATATTAGTGTCAAAATCAAAGCGTAGCGCAAAAACTTTATATAAATAAACATATATAATATTAGTGTCGAAATCAAAACACAGCGCAAAAACTTTATATAAATATAAATAAACATCTAGAATATTAGTATCGAAATTAAAACACAGCGCAAAAACTTTATATAAATAAATAAACATATATAATATTAGTGTCCAAATCAAAAGACAGCGCAAAAACTTTATATAAATATAAATAAACAAACATATATAATATTAGTGTCCAAATCAAAAGACAGAGCAAAAACTTTATATAAATATAAATAAACATAAATAATATTAGTGTCCAAATCAAAACACAGCGCAAAAACGTTATATAAATAAACATATATAATATTAGTGTCCAAATCAAAAGACAGCGCAAAAAACTTTATATAAATATAAATAAATAAACATATATAATATTAGTGTCCAAATCAAAACACCGCACAAAAACTTTATATAAATATAAATAAATAAACATATATAATATTAGTGTCCAAATCAAAACACCGCGCAAAAACTTTATATAAATATAAATAAATAAACATATATAATATTAGTGTCCAAATCAAAACACCGCGCAAAAACTTTATATAAATATAAATAAATAAACATATATAATATTAGTGTCCAAATCAAAAGACAGCGCAAAAACTTCATATAAATAAACATATATAATATTAGTGTCCAAATCAAAAGACAGCGCAACAACTTTATATAAATATAAATAAACATAAATAATATTAGTGTCCAAATCAAAACACGGCACAAAAACTTTATATAAATAAACATATATAATATTAGTGTCCAAATCAAAAGACAGCGCAAAAACGTTATATAAATATAAATAAATAAACATAAATAACATTAGTGTCCAAATCAAAACACAGCACAAAAACTTTATATAAATAAAATAAAAAGAATATTAGTGTCCAAATCAAAACAATAAAAAAAAGTCCCAATCCAAAAAATTTAAAATATTCCACATCCAATGTGCTCCAAAAGAAATAGTGATGGGCAACGTGCAAAAGAAACTTCAGTGTATTGACACCCTCTGTGACAACCAATATATATTATACTCACCAAATGTAATGGACTCTCAAAAGCTGAAGAGTCAAAAAACACTTTTTGGATACTGAATATCCTGCCAACAGGGACTTCCATCATTCAGAAAGATGCTCCATTAGAAGGATTTTCCACACAATTTGCTCATTATAAAAAAGAAAAAACTAATAGTGTAATATTGTCAAAAGCAATTTATTTCACAAAAACACATGTTAGAAACACAGAAAATGCCTTTAGTCAATTAAATATGACCATCATGATCATCTCTGCCACTGAAGATTTCCCCAGAGTAATGAAGTGGCAGCTCTTATGGAAAAAACACAGTGAAGATGGCCCTGGAACGCAGCGATCCGTGTGCGTGCCAATCACCGGACGTGATGTTAGGACGTAGGGAGGAATGACAGGAAATTGCGTTGACGCGTTTTGCCCCTCTTCCAGGGTGTTATCAAAGACCTTTTTTGAACTGCTGCATTTTAGGAAACAGTCAGGGACTTTTTTAAACATGAAAAGCAGTGTTTTTGCTACAATAGAGTTCAATGGAGAGCTGCTGAAACGCATGCAGTGCATTTTTGCTGCGTTTTTGCCACGTTTTGCGTTTTTTTTCCTGCAAAAAAAAAATTTCCACTTTAACAAAAAAAAGCTGGGAAAAAAGCAAAATAAGGTAAAATTGAGGCAAAACTGCAACGCACTATGCAAAAAGCATTATAAAATGGATCAAAAGAAAAAAAGAATAGGTGTGAACCAAGCCCAACTCTAAAAGGCAGCACAGTGGCTACATGGTTAGCACTTCCACCTGGCAGTACTAGGGCCATTGGTTCAAATCCACCATGGCACCACCTGCCTGGAGTTTGCATGTTCTCCCTGTGCCTGTGTGGCTTTACTTCCACACTCCAAAGACATGCTGGTAGGTTAATTGGATCCTGTCTAAATTGTCCCTAGTATGTGTATGTATGAATGTAAGTTAGGGACCTTAGATTGTACACCCCTTGAGGGTTAGGGACTGATGTAAATGTACAATGTATATGTTACACACTGCATAAATAGACAACACTCAGGGGCGGACTGACCATTTGGAAACTCGGGCACTGCCCGAGGGCCCGGGGTCAGTAGGGGGCCCCATGAGATGCCCCTGGTACCTTTTTCATAGGCTTTTTTGAGTTTGGGCAAGGACACAGTGGCCCCATGATCCCCCATTGCCTGGGGGCCCCATGAGTTGTCAGTCCACCCCAGACAACACTATATAAGTACCTAAAATAAATTTAAAAAAAGATGCTGCAATCCAACTGCAGCACTGCCAGTGAGAAAAATCCATTTAAAGTATAACTATAGATAGATATTTGTTTTCTAGTTTTGGACAGAGTGGAGAGAAATTAGAACCCCTGTTAGGTTTTTATTGCCGTCTATGCCCCCCTTTCAGGGAGATTCACCCTCTCTGTTTGTCCTGTTCACTGTTATCAGTGAAAGTGAAAGAAAATTCAAAATTTTGGGTTGTCACCAGCAGCAGGAATAAAGGGGAAATCTTCCAATGGGGACACTAGTTTTGGTGACCCTGGTGACAACCAGGAATTTCCTCTCACTGCCAGATTTAGCTATGATTGGAGATCTCCTCTAATGGGGACGCAGATGGTAAAACTAAAGCTGACAGGGGTTACAACCAGTGATGTATTTAGGTTTTGTGCTGTCATAGGCAAAGCAAAAATTGGGTGCTCCCCAAGGAGAGAGCTTGACATTGTCCAACAACACCCCTGCCCACCCTCCTGAGAGAGCCTTCCACTAATACCCCCCCGTCCCCCCACACACAGCGAGAGAAAGAAAGATATTCACCTTCACAGCAGTGGACATCCCCCAGAACAAGAGTTGGGCTCTTCATACACCATCAAGCAGCCCACAACCTTTCTCGGATCTCACTTAGTCCCCATGCCACATGTGACCCTTCTTCCTGGGGTGCTGTTGCCCCCCTGAAAAATGCCACCCTAGGCAAATGCCTTGTTTGCCTTGGGGTAAATACACCCCTGGTTACAACCCTCCCTTACTGTATATAACATTTAGGCTTCATGTACACGAGCAACTGTTAAACTTAAATTTAGCTTTTGACTTTTTTTTGCCAAAGCTCCTAAACTCAACTCCTTAAAAGCCTGTGTGTCCATGTACATATAGGCTTTCAGCAGAGTTTAGGAGCTGCCGCATTTAGGTGAGGTTAAACCTCCCTCTCCTGAATGAAGAAGGATCTTGTTCAGGATAGGAACGTTTTGACCACCGACTGCGGGAAAATGAAAACCGCGGCAACCGTAGTTTAACAGCTGCCAGCCCACATGGAAGAAAAATATATTTTAAAATATATTTTTAAAATATTCTTCCCAAATATATTCACATATATTTGAAATACTACAATTATGGCCATATTCAATATATTAAAAAAAAAAAATATATATATATACACACACACACACACACTACATGTTGAAATGCTTTTTTATATATTATATATATATATATATATATATATATATATATATAAAAAACGCATTTCAACATACAGTATATATATATATATTTTTTTTTTTTTAAATATATTGAATATGGCCAAAATTATAGTATTTCAAACAGGGGTGGACTGACAACTCATGGGGCCCCAGGGCAACAGGGGATCATGGGCCCCTGTGTCCTTGCCCAAACTCAAAAAAGCCTATTAAAAAGGTACCCGGGGCATCTCATGGGGCCCCCTACTGACCACGGGCCCTCGGGCTGTGCCCGAGTTTCCAAATGGTCAGTCAGCTCCTGATTTCAAATATATGTGAATATATTTGGGAAGAATATTTTAAAAATATATTTTTAAAATATATTTTTCTTTCATGAGGGAGTGTACATGAAGCCTCTCATGCTGTTTGAAGGGCCAGGATGACACTGTGAGCTTTGGAGCACCGTTGGTCTACCTCCAGGGAAATCAACCTGAGCGTACACTTTCACTTGGGAGTTCTACACACACTGCCGCTGACTGTGTGAACACTCTACAAGCCAACTGTCGGCTTTCTAATGAAATCAATCTGGTGCCTGTACAGCGAATACATCCGTATCTGTGACCCCTGTAGTGCGCCCCTAGTTGCAACCGCCTCCCCACCATCATGGTGGGCGGAGAGGAGGGAGACAAGCGAACATCTATGCATTGATCTCCCCTAACTAGATTAAACTCAGAAGTGACACGTAAAATATC